CTTTTTCACACGAGAAAGCCAGTTTCTCGGTAACTAGACTAGGTAGAAACAAAACCGCGCGCGCAAACGAGCGGTCGATACAATAATGTTCACGTACGAACGCGATTGAAATTTGTCTTTAAAAATTTATCGGGCGAACACAGCCGAACCGATCGTCAACGATCGAAAATGTGTTCGAACGACGCGCGAGAGTTTCAAAATGAGAATTTTTCAATAAAAATTCTCCGCGATGTTGTCGCATAAACGCGAATCTTCTTTTGCGGGGAAAAAAAACAAAAAAAAAAAAACAACAACAAGAATCACCGAGAGCTTCTCGCGACGCCGCTTTGAACAGCTGTTTTCACCAGCGCGAAAGAGCGGGATCCGCGCGCGAAGGTTCGAGCGAAGCTCGACAGAAAGAGAGACGCGCGGCGTAAAGTTATATATATATATATGTATACACGTACTTACAACGAGAGAGTTTGAGGTTAGATCCGCGTCTCGGAGAAACTCGTCGCGGATGACGAGAGCGCGATCCACGACGTCACCGCACGACGGACGAAACGGGCCCGCGTGTGTTTTCGCTCAAAACGCTGTCTTCTCTTCGGCGCATTTATCGTAGGCACGCACGCGAGAAGAAAACGCGTGCAAACGCGCGCACGGAAAAACACGTAAACAAAGTGCAACGACACACACGCGCGCACCTACACACACACACACACATATATATATATACATACACAACGCGATGTGTCGCAAGTGACACGCGCTGACTTTCGACCGTTCGATCGACCAGCGCGACGCGAGGACGCGCGCGGCTTCTGCCGAGTAGAGCGACCTAACCTCAAAATTCTCTCTCGAACGCGAGAAGAGAGGATTGGACTCTCATGTTCAAATCGCAGCACGTACCTTATCCACGATGCGATTCTTGTCTCCTCTCGCAGGTTGACAAAAACAAAACCCCGCGTATCTCCTCTCCGAGTAGCGTCGCACACTCTTGGGGAGGGGGGTGGAAGAAAATAACGAGAGAGAGAGAGAGAGACAGGTGGGTTGGGTTCCGATTCGCGTGAAAAACTCGGGGGGGCGGGGGGGGGGGAGCGAAGGAAATCAAACTCGATACACGCGCGAGAAACGAAACTCGCCACTATCGGCCACACTGGACAATGCGGATGATGATGTACGTGTGTGTGTGTACATAATACATCTCTATTAACATATATATATATATACGTATATATATTTGTAACGCGCGGGCACCACACACGTTTTTTTTTTTCCTTTTTTTTTTTTAAACGTTTCACTGTTCAACGCACTTCACTAAAAATATGGAGGGGGGCTGGGGAACCGGACGACGAACGAAAAACTGGACTATTCGTTCGATGCGGCGACGTGCGATATATACGGTAATTGTATCCACGATGAAGCACTGAGGTGAAAAAAAAACAAAAAAAAAAAAAAACAGAGAAAAAATCACCGCGTTTTATCGTCGTCGAGCTGTCACTGCGCGCATAACGAAGAAGAGAAGCGTATCCGCGCGCGCTTTCGAACGACGACAACGACGACGACGACGACGACGACGACGACGTCGACACACGACGACGACGACGACGACGCGAGAGAACGACGACGACGGGGAGCGGAGTTTTCCCCGATCCGCACACGATCTCGCGCACGACACACGCGCGCGCACACACACGCACGTAAGGCGGCGAGGATTATCACCTCCGTTGCTACACGCCTCGTTGCTGCGCCTCTCCTTTCTCGCGCGATCGCAATCGGGTCGCGGCCGTGAAACTCGCGTGTGTCCGCGTATCTTTCTTTCTCTCTCTCTCTCTCTCTCTCTCGCTCTATCGTTTTACAGGTGGAACGACGAAGCGCGAGAAAACGCGGAACCGGTGATGATATCAATTTCGCGAGAACTGTGACGGATGAGAATGTTACTCCGATGATCGTCAGTGACACACTGTGGCGCGCACGTGGGCACTTGCGGCGTTTCCGTTTGTTAAACGACGTCCAGGATCGGTCGACACGTTCTTCTCTATTATTATTATTATTATTATTAGTATTAGTATTATTATTATAATTATATTACTATTATTACGTCTCGCCGTTCTTAAAAAAGCGAAATAATCCGATTATTAAATTGCGATTGGAGCGCGCACGCACCGAGCGAGAGCGAGGCGTGTGAGTCTCGTGCTCCGAAATTGGGAAACGCGCGCGCGTAAAAAGACTTATATATCTCGGACGACACAGCACCGGTGAGGAGGCGTAGTATCCTTGCGATGTGTGTGTATGTGTGTGTTGCGTCGGAGACGTTGGTATGTTGTTGTTGTTCTCTTTTTTTTTCGTGTTTTTCACTAAGGCGCGAGAAGAAGAGCAGAGAGACGAATCGAGCGCGGCCGTCCGTGGTGACGGTTGTTTACTGTTTTTTTTTTTTTTTTTTCAGGTTATGGTCATCAATCGGTGTATCCTCTCGCGCGAAGACCACTGACTGACTGACTGACTGACTGACTGACTGACTGACTGACTATCTGTCTGTCTGTCTTGCCGTCTCGCTTTGCGGACGCTTATCGCCGTGTGTTATCACGTGGTTCACGCGCGCCTCTCGGCTCGATCGCACTCTCTCTCGGGTTTCCGTGAGTCAACGTGGTGGTTGCCGAAAAACCACCAAACACGGTTTTAGAATGAGAAGAGGGGGGAATGAAGAGTAAGTAAGCGCCGAGCCACCACGTTCTAATCTTGAGAAAAGAATTTATCGTCGGGGTCCCCGGACCCCGATGGGACCGACGGGCGCCTTGAGGACGCGCCCCGATCCTCCGTCCGTTCACGCGCTTTGACGATCACGAGGCGCCCGCACCGTCTACGCCGGCGCTGCTGCGGCGTCCGTCAGACGGACAGAAGAGGTGGAGAAAAGAGAGAAAGAAGAAGAGGAGGAGGAGGAGGATGTACTGAGGAGAGCGCGGTGACACCCCCCGCGACAGCGCCGCAATGAACTCGCCCACAGTTCGAAGGGTCCAAAGCACCGCGGCAAAATAATAACAGAACGCAGCCGCCACCGCCGCCGGCGCAGTCGTGCGAGCCGGCGACGTGTTGTGAGCTGCTGTGGGCAGTAGCCGCTGTCGCCGCCGCTGCCGTTGCCGTCACGCTTCCTCTCTCTCCTGCCTCTCCACCGCCGCCGCTCCGTATTATAGCCGCAAAACCGGCGACGGCGTCGCGAGAAAAAAGGCGCGACGCTTGTAAGCGCCGGAAGAACAACAACAACGTCGTCGTCGTCGACAACGACGACGATGATGATGATGAGACGGCACGACGACAACGACGTCGTCGTCGCCGTCGTCGTGTATCGGTATCGCGACGTCTACCGCTGTCGCCGATGATACCGACGATGTTTATGTTGTTATTGCTATTGCTCACGAGATTTTTAAAGTCACCGTCACCGTGATCGCGCGCAAAGACAGTCCACCAGCCCCCGACGGTATCAATGTTGTTGTTGTTATTGTTGTTACTCTTACTGTTAATGATAATGGTGGTGGTGGTTGTGGTGGTGGTGGTAGTAGTCGTGGTGGTGGTGGTGGTGGTGGTGGTGATAGTAGTGGTGGTTGTTCGCGGCCGCGGGTTTTGGCGGGTTTCCACGGGCGACGAGCGCGCACACCACTGGCACACACCGCGGCCGCCGTGCATTCACCTCGTCTTCGCAGCACGCGCCGCCGTTGCTGTCGCCGTCACTGCCGCCGACACGCTCCGACGATGGATGCTCCCTTTCGCCAGCTCGCGCCGCAGCCGCCGTGATCGGCCTCGTATAAGCTGCTCCGAAAGATTCTCGAGATCGTTGCCGCTGCCGCCGATGCTGATGATGATGCTGCTGCTGATGATGATGATGCTGCTGCTGCCGCTGCCGCTGCCGCCGCTGCTGCTGCTGCTGCTACCGCTGCTGTTGCTGTGCCGCCACGCCACACTGAGACACACGACACGACGAGGTTGTCTGACGCACCACTGGCTCGCGGACGCGCACGAATGAGCACCGATCGCGACGTCGAGCGGACGTACGGATCCGCGGCTCGCACGGCGCGCAACACGCGACGTTACCGCAGCACACACGAAATTCGCACAACGTCCTAACCGCGGGGATACCGCATCGCTTTCACGGGCGAACATGGAGCTGGAGCCATGCCGAATGATTCGTGTATCGGCCGCTTGATGGCGCGCGGACGGCGCGGCGCCACCGTCGTGGCGGTAAGCGAGCGCGATTGCGCACGCGTCCACTTTCGCCACGGCCTTCGCGGGGTCGCGCCGTCGCGCCTACGCGCGTTGCCAACGCAACGTCGTGCCGCTTGACAACAACAGATGCGCCCAATTAGCGTCAGATGGCGCCTCTAATTGGCGCGTGTACCGGTACTGCCACCCCACATCATCGCTAACGTCGCTTTGCGCGTTCGCGCCGGACAAAAGTCTGTCGGCGAGACCCAATCAGCGAACGTTGACTTATCTATAACCTATGGGAACGGCTTTAACAAACAAAAATCGTCGCTAAACCGGCATCGCTCATGAAATGTGACTTATTTCCATCTCTTTCGACGACTTTTTGACGGATAAAAATGCTGCTTAGTTGTCAGCAATTCAGCAAAAAATTAATTCAGGGGTGAGAATCTCATGGTCGATCACGTTTCTCATTAAGAAAACAGACGTTTCGTGAATTTTTTTTGTTTTCACGATATAAATTTTATCTCCAAGCAATGCCAAACGAAATTGCGAGCAACTCGATCCACAGACGTTTGCAAACCGAATGTGCATTAAATTACGGCACAAATTGCTCACGGAGCAATTTGAAGTAAAGTATTGTGCTCGAAAATTAAAGGAATGCGATTTATTGCGCAATTAACTTTTTAAAAGAGTGAGAGAGTTGCTGCGAATTTGTTGATTTTTCTTTTTTTTTTTTAGTAACAATATCTCTTCGTAGTCTATCCGTATCAATAATTACAATTGGGGGGGGGAGTATATTTATCGAAACAATATATTTCAATGTGATACACTTTTTGTTTTACGTTACAACTCGATGAGATAACAAAGATGTGTACGGTTACAAAGTATATATAATATTTTTTTCAAAAGTTTGCTAAGTGCAGGCTGATGGTGTACTTGCGACACACGTCGTAAACAAGTATATACAATCTTGTAACGATATGCTATTAGAGGTCGCGCGACACGCAAATGGCACTCGTTATTAAAATTGTGGTCTTACAAAACCTAAACTAAACGGAAGAGACAGAGAACGACAAACACACGCGAAAATTTATCAAAAAAAAAAAAAAAAAAAAATCGCGAATGACGCGCGAAACTAATGAGCGGCGAGACTTGCACATGTACATAAATGACGTAACGCCCGAGCGATAAAGCGCGCAAATGCAATTGTCCCAGATTAATACGCAAATGAAGTCTTATCACTGAAAAAACAAAACAAAACAAAACAAAAATACACTAAAAAGCGCAATGTAAACTCGTAGATTCGACGAACATTGATCTTTTTTTTTCTTTTTTTTTCACGCGACATGATTACGTTCAAGTAATTTTAAAACCACGCAATTCGCGTAGTCGGACGTGAGATTATCGACACGATATGATGTTAAAAAAAAAAACAAAAAAAAAAGAAAAAGAAAAACAGTATCTGACAAAATCCTCTGCATCTAAAATTATCTTCACGATGAAACTGGGTGGACGTGCAGGTTGTACCATTTATTTTGCAACTTTTATTGTATTCAGGACAGTGTGTGTTACACAATATTCTCGATTTCTACATAAAAATAATACGCGATCAAATGTTTGTCACCATTTGTGCCAATGGTTGTGTGACACAAGATTTGATATTCGCGCGTCAACAATCTTGCTTGTGGCTTGAGATTAATCTTCTCGTAATGTAAGAAACAAAAAAAAATGAAATGAAGATCTCCTTGATGAATTTTGCCTTCCCCATTTGTCAGTCACCACGTGCGCACTCGATCTCTTGATGATCGTAAACACTTGTGTGACACACACACATGCGGGAGAACATTGCCTTCACTGTCTTTTCACCGTGAATTTGTGAATGTGTGATTGTGTTGCGAGGATCTCTTTTCTTATTTCTTTTTCTTGTTTTCTTTATCCTTCTTCTATACATACAACATAAGCAAAACAATTTCACTTAATAATATATATTTGTAACATTTTATACATATATAATTTTTATACTATATTATAGTTCAGTTATTTTATTTTGTTGACAGCACAACAAAAATGTTTTACATATGTATAACAGTCTCAGAATTTGCCCCGAAAGTTTCCCCGATTTCCCCGATACGATCTTCCTCCTCCCACATGTTTTCCTCTCTGAACGTGACTTTTACCTCTCGTACCTCGCCCGTGCCAGTCAGATCCTCCTCTTTGGAATGTATGCTCGTCCAGGTACTCGTCGTCGGAATCCAATTCCATGGGGCTTTCTCCGCGGCTGTGTTCGCTTCTTCGGTCGTGAAAATCGTCGCGTTCCACGGAACGCGCGTGATACTCGGGCGTACGCGCGGTATGAATATAATGATCGCGCGCTTTGTGACTAGAAAACCCATCTCTGTTTCTCACAGGAGAATCCAGTCTATAGTTCCTGGACGCATCGTCGGTATCTAAACGATGTTCGTGATCTTCGGATCTTCTCGGAGACGCCGGTCTGTTCCAGGAACGTCTCTGCGAGGAGTTACTCAAACTGTGTCTCAAATCCTCGACCTCGCGAAATCGCGAACCGGGCGCGTAATCGTAAGTTTCTCGTTGGCCGCCCCAGTCGAGACGATCCATTATCGATCGCTTTTCCTCTTTAATCGGTTGGAGATCGTGAGGATAAACCTGCGTCTCAGAATCAACCATGATCGCGGTATAACCCGCTTGTACGCCCTTTGCTTCCGTTTCCACGGCGTCTGTCTGGCAAATTTTCTGATGCGTCTGAGCGGTTGTTTTCGGAACCGGTATCTGTTCCGTGTTGTTCTCTTCCCAGTATATCTTGGTTTTGCTCTTCTGCAAAAGTATCGAGTTCGACATGTGATCCTCGGTATCGTCTTTCGCTTGTGTTTCGTTATCTTCGTCGCGACAGTAGAAAAATCTACCCTTCATTTTTAAACGCGGATCCTCAAATGGAAGCTGGCACAATGCTTGTTCGCAATGTCGCATTATTTCAGGCTTGAATCCTATCGGTAGAAAGAAAAACAATCGCATATATAGAATTAACGTGCGACGATCATAATAATTTATATACAAGAGAATACGTTGTATATATACGTCATGCTTCTTATACGACCTCCACATACATTGTGTCATAGAAAGTATCTTTTCGTTTTTTTTACGTATAAAAAGAGCACGCACTCTTTTGCAGAGACAACATATATATCTCATAGATGTACATACGTGGGTCACTCAACTCAATGTAGCACAATTGGGAGAAAAAAAAACAAACACTTATTGAAAATGTTGGAAGTTCTTACCTGGATACAACACCGGTATATTAGACGGATCTAAAGAAACGCAATAAAAAGAAAACATAAGAAATTAGTATATTATTTTTCACAAATATGAAAAAAAGAACCACATGGTCGTTTCCTTGTGGTCGAGCGAGAAAATTATAGATTTAAGAGAATCTATACGAGAATCTTTAAAATCGAAAAACAAAAAAAAAAAAAAACGTAACAAAATAAAAAAAACATACTCGCACCTTTGGCTGAAACAGACGCTTCCAACAGACTGGACAAGCTGGTCTTTTCGGATTGCTGCAAGATCAATTCATAAAAGTGGCATTAATTTCTACTTCCTGCGCACAATCCGTAAAGTTTGAAGTAAATGCGATAGAATGAAAAAAAAAAAATTGAGATAAATAATAATAGTTGTTAACTCCGCGGCACAGAGAGTATTGACAAATACTCTTGTTGCCGAACTCGAAACAAAAGAAAATATTCATCGCTATTGCAATTACTTTTGGTTTGGAGATGATTGGCGGTTCGGGTGTCTTCATTCGTTCCATGCGCGAAGTACGAAATTCGTTGCGCGATGGTCCACGTTCTGGGTAACTCTGCGACATGGATGCGGTTGAATGACTCATAGGTTTATTTGACGGTTCAAATTGGCGAGACGGCGATCGCCGGGCGGAGGATGCTTCGTGCGACGCGTTATAAGGCATCTGCCCGCGATTATCCATTATCGGAGCGGGTACAGGTTGCGGTGTAGGTAATGGTGCGGAGAGCATCGACGGACCGACTCCCCCTGGCGGGATTGGCGGTTGGGTAGGAACGGCAGTTTGTTGATTGTACAAGACCGGGCCGGAAGAATATTCGACGATAGGATTGGCCATTTGAGGTAGAGGATGCGGGGGCATGGGTTCAAAATTCATCGGCGATACACCCGACATGGGTTCAAAATTCATAAATGGCGGTCCAGTCGGCATAGGTGGTACGGACGCCGGAGGCGGCGGCGGCGGCGGTGGCGGCTGTGACGGCTGTGGCGGCTGATGAGGACCGGACTGATGCATGTAAGACGAAGGCATTACAGATGGTTGCGACATAGGATCTTCTTTAAACACGGGAGTGCTGAGCAACGATGACCTGCCTTCCATCTTCGGCGGCGCGTATACGCTGCTGTTCGTATCGGACGGCAACATCGCTTCTTCCTTTAATTTTCTTCTTAATTCGTTGATAAAAGGCGAACGTCTTCTTCCGCGTTTTTCCGGCGATCTGGTGCGACTTCTGGTGCGACGATTGTAACGTCTGCTCATCGGCGAACGACTTGTACGTCTTCTCGGACGATCCATACTGCGGCTCCTTCGGTCGCGGGATCGACTTCTCATGCGGTCCGTACTGCGACTCCGGTCGCGAGAACGACTTCTTCGGCTTAACAATTCGAAGCAGTTACAAATACGATACACAATACAATAATTATTGAAATTTAAACTATTACATTGATATGTTTAAGTACAATATGTTCGAGTACAATAAAAATATATAGTTTAATACGCTATTTTTTTAAATTTATATCTATCGTAAACATGAGTTGTGTACATAAATGTGTGCGTACATAACATTATACATACAAAACATAATCTTTATGTGTAGATGCTAATAAGACTTTTAAATCATTGGGTTTTACTTAAATTAAGAGAGTAAAAAATATATCTATTTAATACTTAAAAGTATTAAAGAGAGAGATTGTGATAATATAGTCTCTTCTTACCGTTCAAACACGTCGGCGCGTCTTCTATGACGTTCGACGCTCCATCTTCTGTCCACGCTAGACCGTCGTTCTCGACTGCTTCGTCTGGGACTTCTTCGTCGATCCGGGCTTAATACAGGTGTTCTTCTTTCGTGAAAACTTCGCGGCGAAAGTTTCCATCTGTTTGGACTATTATATCTAAATGGACTTCTGTATCTTTCAACGCTTCTACGATCCGGGCTCAGTCTGATAAAAGGGCTTCTTCGTCGAGAAGCAGGACTCAGCCGATATCTTTCGGGAGTTCTGCGCCGTTGCGGGCTCAACTTGTCATAACGATCTATGTGGCGATCGATGCTTCTACGACGTTCCCGGTTTCGTTGCGCTTCACGCTGAGATCGCTCTTTATTCTGTTCCTCTTTGATGCTTTGAATGGCCTCAGCCTCGGTCCCAGGCGGAACCACGTTGTCCGAATCCAGCAGGTTTTTGATCGCCTTCTCCTTCTCGGCGAGAAGCTTGTTCTGCGTGTTTCTCGCTTTGATTTTATCCTTCTCGATGTCCTTCATACTCTTCGAAGGATCCCGCCGAGTCTCCTCGCGTTTCTTTTCTTCTCTCTTCGGTTTTTCACGACTGGAAGACCCTTTAGACTCGGGATGATGTCGTTCCCTATAATTACTCTTGTCATCATTTATCAGAGAAGAGACAAAACTTTCTTACTCTAAGTAAGTAAGTAATAACAGTTTAATGTACACAGTTTTTAGAACTTACAACTCTCTTTAAACTTAGAGAATTGTGTGATAAGTAACATAATTAATTTAAATTAACATTTTTTAGAGGTTACAATGTTTTATAATATTTCTGTAGTTGCGTATAACAGAACCGTGTGTGTTACACATAATATTTCTACACATATTTTATAGTAACAGTGTAACATTACATAATGTAAATCATTTACATATTTATGAAACTACCTAGATGATCGTTTCTTCTTTTGCCTTGTAGATTCCACTGAGTTCTGCTCCTTTTCCCAGGTCTTCTCTTCATCTCCCACGTTCTTGTCTTCCTCCCACGCGTCCAAGACGTCCAACTCCTCCATAAATTCTTTGTCATCAAGAAAATCCTGCAGTTCTTCATCGGGTATTTCCTTGAGGCCCTCAATTGCGCGTTGCACATCGTTATTAGAATTCTTTGACGCAGATTTCAACTCTTCAGGTTTCTTCAAGTATATCTTGCCTATAATTTCCCGATTTTCACTTGGCTTGTTGTTTCCTTGATCATCTCTCTGGCTGTTGTCTTCTTTATTTTCTGTGTTAATCATATTGCTCACCGATTTGTGATTACCTCAACAGTCTGAAGTAATCAAAGAAGTATAAGAAATCTCTTTTTCAAATTACTATCTCTCTCAACTCTCTTGTGCAAAATTCAACCGTGTTTCTTGAAGATTTACATGTGTGCACAAGGTTGTTTATCTCATCAACAAGTGTACACAGTGTGTTTGAACAATTATTCTCTCTCTCTCTTTCTCTTTCTCAGATGTAAGATTGTTATTTCAATTCTACACATCTGCAAACTGTTTGCTTCTAATTTGCAATATAAACTGTGTCCATACTACATTTAGCAAGTATGTACTTGTTCTAATTTATTATACCATCTCCTCAGTTCAAACATAAATTTCATTGCTGTGTTCACAGGATATTTCATATTATTGCAATATACACTTTTTTTTAACAAAAACTGAAACAACACACGTAAACTCTGAAAGTGAAATCACAACGGGATGAGATATTACTTATGGCGTTTTTTTTTGTTATGAAAAACTACGGTGCGTTGATGTGTTTTATATAAACCGCAAACATTACTTTGAACCGGATGCTGTGTAACCGGTGATCAATGGTTTTTTTGTTGAAAACAAAAGATAAAGGATCTATAAAAATCGATTGTCGCGCAGTCAAAGGAAAAATGCTGAAAAAAAAAACGGTATATCATCAGACGAGTTTTCTAACCCGCCATGTTGCGTCGGGACTATAACCTATAAACTATTCTCCTGCGCACTATACTTTACAGACAACTATGTACATTACATTCAAATGTATTGCTGGCCATTTTTTCCGAGCCACTTGATCGCGAAAAACGAAATCATTTCATCTTCATCAATCGCGCAACAAAAAATACAAGTCTTTGCGACTCTACGTGTCTCCACGTCTATGCTCCTTTCTGATTTTAGACAAGTTAGATCTTCTCGGTTTATCTGGTGTTTGCAAAACGCGAGACACGCATTTCACGAATGTTATTGTTTGAAAAATTACAAAATGTCAAAGCGCATTATCTAACAATCTTTCCCCTCTCTTCTCTTACTCTCGCCTTCGAGAATCGAGTACGCACATGCGTGTATATTGTTTTATTAATATACTCGCCGTCTCTGTGTACACAATACATTACGGTCATGTATAAATTGTTTTCATTATTATCTTTGAAAAACTCGCTTGTAAACGGCGCACAAACTGCTTTTAACACTCTCGGAGGTTCGCACCGTCGACACGCTCTCGAAACGAATGTTCGTTTTCTGGCTGAGATCGGCGTCTGCACTCGGTGCACTCCGAATGAAACGGACTTATCCAATCGAATTGCGCGGTGAAAAAAAAAAAAACAGAGACCGAAAGGAGTATACGGGAAGTGTAACGCGCACTCTCTCCCACAAAGCACAAATTTTATTTTAAAAAAAAAAAAAAAAAAAAAAAAAAAAAAAAAAAAAAAAAAAAACGGAGATCGTCAAAATCGAAAAGTAGGAGCTTTGAAGATCTTTATTTTACTTTACGCATTTTGCACTTGAAATAAATACATGTATTCACGCCGATGAGAAATTAAGTGTGTAAAGTATACACCGTAATCCCCAAGGTGATTTGCGAAATGCGGAGGGGGATAGACGATTGTATCGCCCGGCAATGAGATATTGCCGCGTTTTCTTTCGTCGCACGAAGATTTCCAAACAACTACGCGAGAATAGCAAAAATTAAAATTTTCCTTCGTGCGAACAAAATGTCGTGGTAACGTAATAACGCAGTCGGCAAATCTCCTTGGCGCAGGTACAAAGAGCGCAAGAGAGTCGCAAATATAACAGTTCTATTTGTATAAACATTTTCGTCACTTGTATTTTCTCATAGAGGTGTGTTAAAAAAAAAAAAAAAAAAAAGACATTAACACGTCCGCATAAAAGAAAGATAAAAGAAACAAAAACAAACTATTCACTGATTTGATTTTTTACGTTCGAATTTAGTTGTAAATTCACAAGTACCACCTGGATGTATCATGTTCATGAAATATATAATTTATATAAAATTTATATATAACAAGCAAAATAGTATACAACATTGCTGGCACACAGTTGTCCAGAAGTTACTTTACGGTCGAAAAATTTGAAATTAATCAGCGAATTTTGCAAAGAAAATTAAGATAAAATCAGAAAACAAATTATTCATTTTGACCTTTTGCACTTTTAACTTTTTCAATTGAAGTAAAATTCATTAGCTACAATTATTTTACGCATATTGTGCATAAGAAGCTATAAAGTGTGCAATAATAAATTTACACTTTATAATAAAGTGTAAATTATGTGACAAATAAACGAAATAATACATGAACATAGCTGGTACACGTTGTTCAGGGTACCGATTGTGTATTTATGCGAAGTAGTGAAAATTACAAAAGTGAGAAAATTTACTAAAATATCTGTGATTTTATTAGTCGACAACTAGTAAACTTTCTCACTTTTGTAATTTTCACTACTTCGCATAAATACACAATCGGTACCCAGAAGTGTCACTTCACAGTCAAAATATGTAAAATCAATCAGTGAACTTTACAAAAGATAAAATAAAACAAAATGTGATCGACTCATCAACCGGTTAGAAGATGCTACGCGTTGAAACTGTAAAATACAAAGTTTTTGTTCCGTAATTTGTAAAAAAAGCACTTGTTAGAACAAAAAGCTTCTTGTGAAGATGTATTGCTCTGTATTTTCAGCTATTTTTTTACGACGTGTTTTTTTTTTTTTTTGTTTAATATATAATATAACTGATACATCAGTTTATAACTTTTAAAAAAACAAGTTACAATCTTTGAATTTCTATTTTCTTTTCTGGAGCTTTTGAACACGTTTCTGCTAAAGAATATGTACACACAGATATTTTAGTTAAAATAACATTATCAATACATCAAATGTTACGTCAAATATCCTTAATTCATGATAGATGTTGAAAAATACAAGATGAAATCCATTAGATTTTTAAGACCGTCATGATTTTTTGTTGCAAAACAAAGTGTCGTACGTCTTTTCGTACTGCAACATGTGCAACAACGTTTTGTCAATTATTTTTGGTATCCAGCTATTTACGAAACACTCAAATTGTCGAAAAATATGATTCTGGCTGTTCGTGTCGGTTAACGTGATAATTATCGACACCGGATTCTGCGACTTCTCCAGCACACACGTAAAATCTAGTTGCACGTTTTTCGCCTCGTCTTGTTCGTCCAAGTCTTCCAACACTTTGTCCGATATGATCGCCTCTTTCTCAAGAAGACTCAATTGAATATCCAGAAGAGTTCGATTATTTTTCTTTCTGTTGTACCACACACACTTGGTGCCCGAGCAGTGCAATGTTATTTTCTGATGACTTTTGGTATGCACGTCAGATAGCATGTCGTCGGCCAACAGTTCGACTTTCTGTTGCTTCATTTCCGGATCGGTGAGAACCACCTCAACGTGTAACTTGAAAATCTTTTCGAAGATATCCCGCACTAGATTGAAGATAAGAAAATACCAATTGTCTCTCACGTATCTCTCTTTATTGGGAATATCGGTGCGTTTTGCGAAATCCTTCGGCAGTCCGGCGTGAAGAAACCGACCGGGTAGTATCGTACTTTTGAACTTGCTCTTATTTTTATTTTTCTTCTTCTTCATCATCATAGGCGGAGCGTTTCCCGGATCGAACAACATTTTCAATAAATAGTCATAATTGTTTTCACTTGACGCTCCGCATACGTCGGCACTGAACATGCAACAAGTTTGAAATGATATCAGAGCGCGTTCCGACGTGATTGCACCTGTATTCTGATTAAGTTCGATGGGATCCTGGAGGCACAACGACTTTTGAACGTCTAATTTCTTGACAACGTTTTCCGCGCAGTAAACCTTGTATACAACCATATAATCGGGCAATTTATCGAGCTGTTGGAAATCAAATTTCGGATACATTTTCCCATCCAATAAACACAGCACATGTTGACCGAATTGAAATTGGCCGTAGAAGGAGAAGAAATTGTGAAACAGCTCCGCGATACTGCTGTTATTGGTGATAGGCGGTAATTCGGTATTCTCATCGAAATTTACTTGCCATCCGTTCACCATCTGCGGTGTGCACGACCGTTGAAGTTTTAACAACGGCGGTAGAAGGCCAACTGATTCTTGTTGAAGATAGAAAATGATCAAACATACCAATCCGTAACTCGAAAGTTTTCCGATTCCGGAAATTCCAAAATGCCTCGCCCAGTATTTGATGAGTAGCATCAACGGCCGTATTCGAGGATCGTGCGATGCGCAGTACCTCAAGAAATGACTCTTGTAGATACCTAAACTGTTCTTAAACGTGATGTCGCAGGAGACATTGGTCGGTATGTAGCGAAACTTAATAATAGGTGTTTTTGCTTTGGGAATTGTTATTATATTGGAAAAGACAGATTTTATGCTGTACATCACTCTTTTCGCTCGTTTGAATATCATTTGCGTTAATAAATCCGGCGGGAAATCCGGGGTTATACAAACCGATGGTAGACCTTAAAAAGAGAAGAGATGTTTCTTTTATTTAATCCATAAAATATAATTTAAAAAATTTGTAGTTTTTCATGTGCGGCACAAAATCAAAACACAAAATTTTCCTTACCATGCTTACCGATAGACATGTATAGATCTAAATCGCTCTCCTTAAAACTCAGCCCCGCGACTGTTGAACCAAACTTGTATGTTCGACAATTTGGAAAAACCGATCTGAACACCTCATCCATGTGAGTGCAAATGACATTGTATCTCGTTGTTATTTCAAACTCAGTAAGCTGTACTGCATTTAAAAGTGCCGCTAACTGCTTGTCAAACGTCACTTCGTTTTCCACAGCTTCTTTTATAAGTTCGTATCTTATTGGATCCTCTTCAACATTGGGTTTATTTATCTTTTTTTGCCCTTTAAAACAACATACAGTTAATACAGTTGTGATTGTTAAGATAAACTTTGTAGATAATTAATATATATAAATCCTTACCTTTGTAGGCAGTGGGATCTTTATTTTTTTTCAGTCTTCTTATGCACAACTTTTCACCTGGAAACCAATCTGGTTTGCTCAGTAAAACATCAACAGGCTTACTGCAATAAAATGATATAAAATATTATGTTATCAATCTCACGTGAGAAATTCTAATGATTGTTGTTGAAACAATATTCGCACACTAATGCGTACAAAAAAAATTAATTTTGTTTCAATTCTTACTGGTACACGTACCTGTCGTGATATTCAATTCTTAAGGAATTTCGTATGAAACAATGTCTCTTAACAGATCCAAAATCATAAAAAAAGGCCAATAGTTGTTCACGTTTTATATTTTTTGGCAAAGGTGTGATATAAAGTGAATTTCTTGGCAACCATGACCGACTCTTGTCCTCTTCTTGTGAGTTTTGTTCCGATTTTATATTTTGTTGATGCGAGCTTGTGGCAACTTGATAGTTTGCGAAATTAGCGGATTCGGTAGATAATTTAGAAGTCATTGTTAAATAATAAAAATAGATCTCAATAGATATTATGTAACATATATTTTGTCTTAAATAAAATCAATGTAATTGTTCAGTTATAATTTATTGTGCAAATATTAAGTAAAATGCATAAAATTTTATTAAAGATCAATCAATATAATTTTTATAAACTCATCGATCAATTTAATTTTTAATAATTCCACATCAGTGCTTGTCCATCCTTAGTGAACACTTTTAAAAAATATTTTGTTTCAATAAATCCTCTTGCGTTTCCAGGACTGAGAATAACCCCATTTTCAGATTCAAAAAACGTTAAGCCATCTTGTTTCGCTTTATCGAAATTGATATAAATAAAGAGCTCCGCAGTGTGACGCAAACCACAGACAAAGTTTAATCCTTTCGCGAAGTGAATATGATTTCTTCTCATGCGAGACAGACCTTCGGTTTTTATTGTTCTCCAATTTTCGAAATAGGTCCCATGAATTATATCACAATCAACATAATCAAGTACTTTTAAGCTTAACTCAGTGATGTTGGATATAGAATGACCTTGATTAGCCTTAATCTCTAAAATACCATTAGTGGTTTTGAGAGTAAATCTCTGCTTGTTATTTGTTTCCACCACTCTCTTGATGTCGTCCAGAGTATAATGACACTGCAGTTTTCTCAACACTTCGTCGACGGCAACAAAACCATTTGGCTTAATGTTTAAATATTCTTTTATAGCACCATGACGCAGTAGATATGACAATTTCTTACTAAGAATAATATCATTGGTATTCTGCTCCTGGAATATAAAATAAAATATTTGTTAAAATTGTGTTATTCAATATATCAAAAAAAAAACAAACAAAACTAAATAGAAAAATGAAAATGTTTTATTCTGGAACAAAACGTGTTAAAATTATTTAATGTATATTAAATTAAAACAGAATGATATTATATCAAAACAGAATAAACAGTTGATAAAGTATATTTTAAAACTGACATTGATTATTACTCAAGTAGAAAACATTTCAATATTTCTAGATTCTTTTGTACGAGACCACGTCGAGTAAACTTATTAGAATGTGTTTTCAGATAACTGAACAATTACCAAAAAAAAAAAAAAAAAATATATATATATATATATATATATCTATATATATATGACCCTATTTATTGCGCACAGTGTAATGGAATCAAAATCGAGATGCAAAATAAAATTTATTATCACGTTAGTTGCGGTTTTGCATCGGACTAAGGAGATGATTAAAATTACAAATTCACTAACCTCTGAACTCATGAAAATAAACGCTCGCAGCGTTCTCCCTCGAATTTGTTTAAATTCTTTTTACGATCACGCGTACGTGCAATGCTTTAGTTTCTCATTACGTATTGTCTAATTCGCATCGCTTGCACAGTCATGTGTACGATCATACATACATACAGTAATTACGTACATACGAATTCGTGTGTCGTTTGCGCGGAGAGCAACTTGGGTAGAGAGTTGGAGCAACTTGCTGCGATCATCTGGTTGTGTGCGGTGTTTGGCTCGCAATCGAAAATTATGCATGCGCGCGATTGTTAGTTCCGGCTGGCGCGTTATCAAACACACGTTACAAAACGCGATTTTTTCGTTGTTGGAAAAGATTTCAATCGCTAATTTATTTCAGCCGCTTCATATGTTTCAAGTATAAATCGAATTGCAAAAAACCACATTGATCGAAACTTTGTTTGAGATCTTCGACGTGCTCTTGTATCGTTTATGTTATCGCATGACGTTTGCCGTAAAAAAAAAAAAAAAAAAAAATCCGACAGACATATCTCAGACGAAAGAGCTCCGTCTCTTCGCGCAAAAATTTTATCTTTTAACTCTATGTAATAAGTTTTATTTTTATTTTGCATTTACGTAATAATTTGCATGATACGTGAACAATATCCGGGAATTGTCCAATCGCGTTGCGTGGCCAATTCTGGAGATAATTCGCGACCCGTCCGCGAGAATCGATCCGCATTCATCGATTAATCGATCAGATCGATTCTCGAATCGATTATGGAATCGATTATACTTCGCCATGTTTTGTTATCGCACTCTCGCTCGATATCATGTGCGGCAACCTGACGACGACCAACAACCATCCATTCGTGATTTACGGAGAATGTCACTCGCGTCCAAGGTGGTTTTCGGATTTTGTTGCGTGACATCCGTCGGAATAATATTCTACGTGCATTACAAGCAGGCGTACGACAGGTAGAGTCGCGCGGAGACGTTCGGTTTGGGGGTCGGGTAGGTTATGCGCCGCGATTTTTTCATTCCAGGAAGCAACTTCACTTGGGTGTGATACACGACATCGAGCGACGTGAGCGCCGAAAAGCGGAAAATGTCTACGTTCTGCAGCAGCAGGCCGAACTGACCAAGGAGCTTCGCAGAGGAGCGAACGTTGGCGAAAATAACACGTAAAGCGTGAAGCCTGGAGCCTTGTCGGAATTTGATTGAAAATTAATAAAAACAGGATCGTAAATCATCAAGTAGACAACGATCGTTCATCCCGTCGTTTTTCGCTGTTTTTACGCGCGAGAGCGTCGATACCGACAATAAAATTATTTCGGCAGAAAGTCTTAGAATAAATATTATCAAATTAACGTTATGGCCACTGACGAGACGGCGAATCAACCGGGTGAGTCTTTGAGTCGCACGAGGTTTAAAAGAATGAAGGACAGAGTTTAACACACACATGGAATTTCTAATAACACAAAAACAGGTTTGGAGGGCACTTTGTGAGAAACAGTATATACGCACTGAAATGTAATTAACGATAGACATATAGATGTTTTTATTTTCGAGTTATTTTGGGTTTTCATATATAAATCGACACCGATAAGGTTTAGAAAGATTGTAGTTTTGGAATGTGGTTTTCTTATTGCTGCATTCGATACAAAGAATATACTTTTTATGTTACATAAGCAATTGCACTCTGTTTGTGTTAGAACGTACTAGATTGTTTTTTTTTTTTACTCATTGTTTGATTTTGTGTATAACTTTTTACAGACTTTATTATGATGTGTGTATGCGTGTTTGTCTTATATACACAACAATATTGTAATGCAAATTGTGTTTAGGAATTTTTTTTTTTTTTTTTTTTTTTTTAAATCTGATTTCTAATTTCTTTATAGATCTGTCTTGTATGGAAGAGAGTCTAATGAGTCTAGAAAAATTGGACAGAGCATCTCCTGATTTGTGGCCTGAACAAAGTGAGTACTTTTCTTGAAGATCTCGAACATGTCAACATATTGTATACAATATATCGTATATGTTAGCCAGCAATAAAGTTCCAGGTGTGCACGAGTTTGTTGCTCAAAATTCGCCCCAGATGGAACCATGTTTTTGGACGGCAAATCTCTCGTCGGAAGACATTAGTCAATTGCATCGTGAGTTGCAACATTAATCGGCACACCGTTCTTCATCTTATATTGCTAAATACCGTAAAATATTTTCTTGCAGAACTGGGTAGTTTGGCAATGACCGGGCTTATCTCGGAAGTGAAAAGACTGCACGATTTAGCTTATCAGCTGGGTCTAGAGGAGGCTAAGGAAATGACACGCGGCAAATATTTAAATATATTCAAACAAAAATAATATTTTTTTAGACTTATATGCATATACAATAAAAAAAAAAAAAAAAAAAAAAATTGCAAAATCCAATACCAAAATCGGTAGTCTTTCGGCGAGAGGTTGCACTTCGGCAATTCTAAGAGTTCTCTAAGATCCATCTTGAGTATCTCTGCACGTTTACGAATGCAGATGGAAAAACGATGTTTGAGTCGCAACTAGACCCATATGATAGGATGCCAACCTGATAACAAAAAGCAAAAACAAAAACAAAACAAAAAAAAAAAACAAAAAATACATGAAACATGATCATGAACATGATGAGAACTACGTTTCTGTAGTATATGTTATATGTTTGTGTTCGTGAACGTACCAGGAAATATGTGTCCGTATATTTGTACAACAGTGGGCTTCCACTGTAACCTGAGCAGGGCTCACAATTTCCTTTGGCGCACAATTCAACGGACAGACCTTGGCTTAAGTAGTCCGAACATTGCTGCTTAGGTACGAGTTTTAGCTGTAATGACTGTTGCGTCGTTGGCTGCGCTGGATCACAGGGTTACAGCACTTTGGATGTTACATGAACACTGCTTATAAACTGACGCTTTACTATATAAATTGGTTTTCAATTAATACGTACTTTGCTGGCCGGACAATTGTCCCCAGCCGACAACGGTGCATGTACTTCCCAAGCTGACGTATCTGTCTTCCGGTACGAAGCAGATTGGTTGCGCCGTGGCTGGAGAAGAACCGAATTAATCGAATTAAGACTGAGATAACTGAGATATTTGTAAATGTAAGAAGTTTGTACTTGTTGTTACCTGTAAATTCAATAGCTTTCTTAAGGCGAAGCAACGCGATGTTGTTTGAAAAAGTTGCGGCATCGTAGCCTGGATGTTTGATAACATACGATATCTCGTGGCTACTGGTTTTGTGACCGCAAAATAATTTGTTGCAATCTGGATCCGACTCTGTATTATATTCACCAATGAGTACAGAGCATCTGAATAACAAACACGAGCATATTTGTAATACGAGCATTTCTTTGTAATTTAATTATTGCATGCTACGATCTCCGAACAGGATCTTATCTTGCAATTGAAACTCCGCGACCGATCTTTCGGTAAATATTGACTCTGCTGTATCTATATATATGTATATATATGTATATATACATATATATACATATATATATTTATATGTATACGTACAATCTGTATTTGTCCGATTTCGCGAGTGCGCATGTCGCTGTAGTTAATACTGTACGCTCATTAACAATCACGCCGCTGCACGAATATTTCATCTCGTTCGTTAAAACATCTGAAAGCGAACATCTTGCTACAAAACAAATCTTGAAAGCGCATGTTTCATGTGAACGAAAGAAATACGGAGCTAACTGATCTCCGTAAGAGTGAATTTAAATATGTGTATGTGTATGTGTCATGTTAAATATGAGAGAAACACACATTTGCTACGTCACATCGCAGATCGATGTGACGCGATATATATCGCAGGTTTCAACAATTTTTTTTTTTTTTTTTTTTTTTTTTTTTTTTTTTTTTTTTTTTTGAGGAAAATGCAGTTCTCCAGACAGACTCTGGTGTAATTTTCTAAAAACAACCACAAAAACATATCCGCGCCGAATACTTGCTTATGAAACCAATTCTTGCGACAAACGGATACGATCCCAAAGCGTCCACGTTGTTCCGAACAAGAGTCTTCCCGCACTCGAGATTCGCGGATGATGACTGGATGGTGGTGGTGGTGGTCGGATGGACGTTCGGATTTGCGTAAATCGGCCGTTCGGAATAACCGTCGGCGCTGCAACAAATTTTCACGCGCGTGCGATCGTATCCGCACACAGCTTGCCGTAATCTGCGCAATCGGTAAATTTTCAACGATGATTTATAATTTTTTAATTCCGGTGTTTTGTTTACAAAAACAAAAAAAAAGAAAAGAAAAGAAAGAGAAACAAAACCGGTGTTTCTCGTTACCTGTGAGCGGAAAGCTCGTTTCGATCCATCAGAAATGCAACCGCCGAGCAATTTTCGACCAACGTGCATGTCTGATCCCCGGGGCAGGCGAGAGAATGATTGCTCTGACACATGTAGTATCGGGAATATTCGCACGGTTCCGAAATTACGACCGGCAGTAAAAGTAACAACAACAAGCCACACATTTTCGAACGGAAAGTGGAAATGAGAAAAACTCGTGTTTTTTTTGTTTTGTTTTGTTTTGTTTTTGTCTAGAAACTCTGACTCATTTGAATTTATTTGCTGACAAATGAGATTCCATAAAAATTTGTTCAAGACAGAGAAGACAAAAAAAAAAAAACCAACTATCGATCCGTCTTGTGTGGTTCTGTGGTGATTCTTCCCCGTTATATCGTCGTCCTCTTCGCGCGAAGAGGCGACGAATACTGGCAAGATCCGATGCGGTTCGCACAGGTTTCGTTTCATATCCGCAATCGAATACCAGCATCTCTGTGTCTCCACCGGATGAGATGAACTGATTTCAGTTCATCGCGCACCTGTACTTTGCGCGCGACGGACAATATATATTTCGTTTCTCTCGCTTGGTCCTTGGAGCATTATTCGCACATCCGGCGGAACAAGTGATTGTCACGCGAAAAGAACGGTGCGCGTTACGCGATTGCGATGCGCAAAACTGTTTGTTACGCGCGCGCTTTATCCGTATAGATTTCTTGAGAAGACAGAGAGGGATCGGATAATTCGGATTTAAATGTACATACATGTTGGTTTTAATATTGACTGTAAAAAATATTTTGCGACATATTTCCGTTGATTCTCAGACGTTTAGGCTACGCGATTTATCGTCTAAAAAAAAATTTATCGCGTGTAAAATTTTAACGTTCACGCGCGCGCTCGGGAAAAAAAAGGGGGTCTTTCATTGCAAATTTGATATCCGGTGTGAAGTTTCGTTGCACGATAATAAATTTAATGTAAAAAATTTATGTGCGAGACGCGCTCTCACGTCTGTGATTGTACGTGTTGCAATTTGTAATATATATCCCGAATTAATTTAAACATGAAAGACTTTTTTTTTCTTCCGGGCGAATAACATCGCTACGTTAAAAATCATACTTGTGTAGTCCAAAGTAAGTAACAAGTTTATTAAGTACCATTCGTTGAAAATTTCTCCCATTAATCGGTATAAAAATTTACGAGAGAGTAGCATATTGACGAACTTCGATACTTCGCACACTTGTCTGATCTCGCGGGGGAAAAAGTGAAGAAAGGGAAGGGGATGAGGGAAACTTCGGCAATATTTGCGCAACTTCAGCAATTTACGTTCCGTCTCTCGTTCCATTCGATCGCGGTCTCGATGATGCCGGACGATCGAACGAAATCAACCGCGACAATATTGGCGCTACGTTGCCATTTGTTGTTGTACCAATTTGTTACGTTGATATTGACTTTCTCCGCCATTTGACGAATGCTTCCGAGACGATTTAAAATTACGTCCAACGTGTTAGGCGTTAGTTCCGCCATCGCCGATCTCGGTATCGATCTGGGATGTCTGAAATGTGAGAGAAGTGTGAGTAAAAAAAAACCCTCAGTTGTATTAAAACAAATACAAATTTGATTTTTGAAAAAATCGTAATTTTCGTGTCGATTTGAAAATCGAGTTTTTCAAAAAATGTAAATCGCACGCGCAACGATATTGATAACAAACGGGACGTTTCTTACCCGAAACTCTCCGTTTCGATGCGGTTCAGATAGGTGAACAGATCCTCGATGGTTCTGACGTTTCCCCATTGATGCGTGACGCATGGCCACACGGTCTCGTAACGATTGACAACTCGTTTCTCGTCGTAACCGATTATGAGCCTCTTCCCGGACGACCAGATCATGTTCAACGTGCTGGTCCATCCGTACGTCTTCGGCAGGTAGTAACCGGCGAACTGTTCCTCGAGAAATCCGACGAAGTCGTGATGCACGTCCAGATTCTTCCCGAAACCTGCGGTAAAACGTTCGGAAAATAGCCACCACACATTTTCCCGTATCGAATGCAATAAGAGACAATATTTTTGTCGTTATCATCAATCGAAACAGGGCGACGCGCACAAAAGTATTAAGAGACGACGTTTCAACGAGATAATGTGAGACGAATGTTGCGAAATTTATTTCTCGCGCGTACAATAATTTTATATTTACGATATTTGCGACGTTTTCTTTCCGGTCAATAATTCGGCGAAGGTTCATTTAAACACTAAGATATTTATATACAATGCGTATAAAAAAAAAAAACAAGCAGATAAGGATAAATTCGTAAAAAAGATAAGATATTTATGTTTATAAAAATATATTACCGACTGGAAATTCCTGAACGTCGAATATCACGATCTCGTTGGTGTTATCGAGGAAGATCTTCACCTGATTCACGACGTTTTGCATGGGAACGGACTTGAACACACCGTGATTGGCCCACCATACCGAATTGGTGTTGGGATAATGTCCGACTCTGATGTCCAGATATCGAACCCCGTAGATGAGCTGTGCGAGCACGTCTACATCCTGCAGTTTAATTATCCTAACGATTACCAGCAACGGTTATTCTATAGCGTTTTTAAAAACGTTTTTTATCTGATCTTATAGAGAGCGCGCGCTGTAAACTCTCTGTAATAACCACGCGCATAGAGAAAACTATTGTATCTGGGTAGATTTAACAAACGTGTGTTGTCGAGATATCTCCAAGCAAAACATCCCGTCGGAAATGGGATTCAAACGAAGCTGATTGTTCGAGTCAAACAATCGTTTGACTTTCTATGACCATTTTAATTTTTTTTTTTTTATTATATCTTTGAGCGAATCTTTTTATTTTAGGTTTTAGAACTAATTTGCAGAGAGAGAGAGAGAGAGAGAGAGAGAGAGAGAGAAAACGTTGTTTGGAAATAATCTCGAACTGAACTGGAACACAGCCACACAGAGACGGTCTAACTCATTCAGCTACTGGACTCTTCGTAATAGCGTTAAACTAATATTTCATTGTAAAGCCCGCGGCGCACGATACGTTTTTCGTGCGCCGGGATTGCGTGCGAGCGCCAGAACTGACCAATCGTGATTTGGAAATCAAATAATTGTCAAATCGTCGTGACGATCGCATGCGATCCACGCGCACACACACGCGAGAAAAAAAAAAGCGTCGCGTGCCCGTGGGCGGTCACGAAATAAAATTTGTCATTCGGGCCGAAACAAAATTATTTTCAACAATCGCATCGCTCCCGTCAAATAACGCGATTTGTTTCGACGAAACAAGTAAAATGTCCATTTGACAAATGTTCATTTAATTTTAAATTGTTGCTGGTTACGAGATCGCGTCGTTTGGAACAAAAAATATGAGAAGTTCAGTTTCAAACAAACGAGATTGTTAAATCTGAAGATAAAAAATTTTCTCTCCGCTTGGCACGCACACGCCCGCCCCGACTTTCTAATTAATTCAATCATTAATCAAGACTCTCGTCCCGAGCCAGTGGACAGTCTGCTTCGTCACAAATTAGGAGATTGAAAAATTAAATGACGCAACAATTACGAAGCGTTACCAGGCTACACTTTCGGCGATCGCGGTCCCTCGTGTAATTTCATCCGTTGAAAACTTTCCGCGCGATTGCGATTACAAATTTTTGTTTATACCTGCGTTATCACGTATCTCTCGACGATATTCTCGATGTTCGCCCGCTCGTGTATCGCGTACGACGCGGAATCGTGCGTACCGGGCAGAAACACCCTGCTCATCGGCAGCGATCCCAGGATATCTTTCCTCTCCGCCATCCAGCGAGGCTGCGTTCGCAGACAATTTGTCAGTCTTATCGTGTCGTTCCTCAGCCAGGCGACGTGATAATCTGAATGATATAAAAAGGAGCGGTGTTTTTTTTTTACACCGACGATAATATAGAACAAAAAAAAAATCGATCTTTGATCCGTTTCTCAATGGAAGTGTGCAAAGTGGCTCGCTCGCAGACACGAGAAAAAAAATAACAAGTATCATATCTAGACAATATACAGGGTGGCTCTTACTTTCGACTCTTGAATTTTTTTCGCGACACCCTCTAGAATGTGGTTCCAATTGCTAAACAAATGATCCGTGAAAAAGTTCAGTCCGATAAAATAAGGGGAAATGAAGCTCCTGGGTTCTTAAACATTAAAACAATTATTTAAATGCATGAATTGATTTTGTTGCACTTGCTGCACCGAACTAACGGCGTTCGTAAAAAATGTTACTGTTTTGGATTTTTCTCGAAAACTAGTCGTGCAAAAAAAAAACAGATGATGAATTGCACTTGTGACTCTACGGCTTTTGTTTAACATGTTTTTTAATCAATAAGTTGAGAGACGATCAAACAAAATCGATTCTTTATGCATTTAAATAATTTTTTAAATTTTTTAATAACCCAGGGACTTTCTTTATCCGATCAGACTGAACTTTTTCACAGATTATTTTGTTTTTTTTCAACAATTGGAACTATTCTCGGAGATCGAGAAAAAAATTCAAGAAACAAAATTTCTTTACCAAGAGTATAAAATTAGAAATTTACTTTAAGACGATAAATTCGTCAATTATTCGCCAAACTACTATGCGAGATGTTACAAAATTATATATAAGAGATATTAGCGGTCATCGGACTGCGTTGTGTCCGTCGCGCGCGCACAAGAGGCGCGCGCTCAATGAGCAGCCTTTACTGAAAATTACATAAGTGCGATATGTGTCGAACACACGTACGCAAGCATTGTTGGACAAACGTGAGATTCGAAGTGGGAACGAACGCGGCCTGCAACCCGGTTCTCTTGATACCACTCGGCGCGTCTGGTACCAGGGCATAAATTGGCTCGAGGCCGTTTGCGGGCACGCTCGTGTAAAGAGCTATCGTATCGCCCGGTCGATACTTGGCGTGGTTCCAATAAATCTCGATCTCGCGTATCATTTTGTTGGACATTATGGGCGAGATTATCAGGCCCACGTGAGCGTGCTGGAAGTCTGGAAAACAAGCGACGTGTGTGTTAAAAAAAAAAACGATCTTTGAGATGAGAAATTTCAGTCGGATGTAATTCTTATATCACAAGAAACTCGAACGATCGTTGCTCTTGCGTGAGGAGCGAGATGTGTGTGTTGAAAAATAATAATTTTGTTCGATATAAATTTGTTTTAATTAAAATTGAGTCTCAAGAGATAACACACAGGGTCACGCAAAACTTTGATATCTTGTTAACTTTATATATACACGAGTATAATTCAATATAAATTTCTACATCAGAAACTCGAACGATCGTTGCTCTTTGTGAGACAAAAACGCGATGTGTTGTATGTTAACTGAACTAAATTGTCCGATAATTGTTTCAATTAGAACCAAAGTGACGTAAGAATTTAATTAACGCATTTTTTATTAATTTACACATACGAACATAATTAATTTAAGTAATTAACGATCGCAACTTAATTTCTATCTCGTTACAAACTCACCATCTCCCGTTTCTGGCGCGCAGAATCTCCTAGCTGAGAGACAAGCGCCGATTGTCAGCCAGTAGGAAAGAGCGAAAACGATCGCGAATAGCTTCATCTTCTCTTATTGCAGGAAACGTCGTTAGCGAGCAAAATCTACTAGTCTCGTTCGGACGTTGACATTCCCCTCTATGTGTGCCTTCTCAATCGTTACAATTCTTTCCACGAGGCTGCGAACGACTGCGAAAGACGTCGGCCTTCAACTTCGATCGCAATTTTTATCGAGCGAGCAAAACTCGCACCTGAGAAACATAATCGCAAATGCAAATTTTGCAATCTCGCATGTGACGTGGACTTGAACCGGACTTGAATTTACGACTCGATTGAGCGACCGTGATAAACGATAATTCAACGCTTTGCGCCTATTGTTTTGAATTTTTATGTCAAATCTTCGTAAAATCACGATAAATTTCTTTCGTGTTGAAATAAATTTGCAATAAATTTTGTTTAATTCACTTCTCCGTATCGCGCTGACACTGACCTTTTTCATTTTTGTTTTGTCAATCATATTCATCCAACAATGCGGACTTTTTTTTTAAATATAAAAAACGGCCTCACACCTCTAATTTTACGTTTTATTTATTTTAACTTTGCAACTAAAAATAAACCCGATAACATTGTGAGTGGAAAAATTGCGTTATAAATATTGATTAGCTCAAATTTTACTTCCGTCGCTCGAAACAAAATATTTGCAAATAAAATTCCTATCGTGTTACAAGTTATAAAAATTCATGTTGTTAAATTAATAAATTTCTATCATACTGTCATATTATTTATACTGATGATAATTATAAAATTATTTCAGAGAGATCTTGTGTGACTTACTTCGCGCGCGCAGAAGCGACGTGGTTATTTCCGCACAGTTTTTTTACCGGAACAAAGATTCCGAAAATAATCTTATCGAGAGAGATCTTTTCGTTTTCAACGTCCGCATCGATTCGCGACACGAATATTTAAAATCATTAATCGGTCGAACAATCGCGCGCGAACGTTTGTAGCGCGCGCACTCTTCGATATAATTCTTCTCGCGGTTCGGCAACGCGCTCGTACCTCTCTCCGTTGATAAATCGTGACTGATCGCCGCCCGTACGTGCGATCGCACGATCAAGTCAAGTTGTACAAGTTCAAGAACGTAGATGCGGCGAGAACGCGATGACGACAGATATCCGAGAGATAGTACCGGTTAAGAAAAGAAAAACATGGCATTAATTATATACATCTCCATCGTTTATTTTCGCGTTACGTGCTTCTAACATCCGCGCGCGAGCGCGCTTTTATCTCTTCTCTTTTTACGACATCATGACGCACTTCGCATAAAACCGCGTTCTCTCTTTCTTTCGCTAGAGATAGAGAAAGAGAACAGCCTTTTCTGTGTGTTTAATCTTAGTTAATATAAAAATGACAAAATCCTCGGGTTTGTATATCAAGAGTGAATCCATTGTAAATAACAAATTTAAATTATAAAAGTTATTTCAGTTTTGTTTTCGTCAGCTAACATTGTAACTTTATTTGACATTTATCACGACTTGTGACAGAAGTTTCTTTAACTCTTTGAACCACACAGTGGTGTTGAAAAATGTCTCACTTTCTTAGCGCCTGAACGTGCACAGAGTGAGACGTTGTTCGCATCATCTTTTTTTTTTTTTTTTTTTTGTCAATTTTATAATTGTTTTGTCGTAAAATTCTCCGCTTCATAGAGTTAACACTTGCAGGAGAAATCGAAATTACAAGAATTACATTAAGAATTACATTCAGAGACAACAAGCCGTTTCCTTTAATCAACCAAGAGGCGTGGAACGGTAATGGACGGTAATGTCGATCAAGATTAGCGGATCGGTCTCTCCGGGAAATTAAATAGCGCGACGCGTGAGTGTGACGTTTCCGCCAACGAAAGCAGAAAAGATTCCCCCCCCCCGACCGAGAATTTATCGCGCGAACACGCAGCGGAGAGGTCGATCGTGTTCGTTTCCTCGACAGCGAAACCGACGCGCGGTTTCCGGGGTAATCGATTGCGGGAGAAAAAAAAAAGAAAAAAAAAAAAAACAACAAAACTCGCAGACACGAAATGCGTGAAACCATGCCATGGATTCGGTATCACGCGAATTCAGCAACGGCGTCCGGGCGAAGTTGCTTGCACGGCATGCAGAGACACTTGTTTCTCGGAAGTTCTCGCCGATACACACAGGGGGATGGTTGCTGTAGCGGTAGCATAATTAAAGACCCGCTACCACGAACATCCTCCCATCGGGAACCATCTCCGATGTCAAAGGATATATCTTGAAAAGAAAAGAGAGAGGGAAAAAAAGCAAAAAA